AAACAAGTGGTCGCCGCGGATGTGATGGACATCAGAGATATTGTGGACACGTTTTCCGATGAGAATTGTCCGAAACTCCGAAACTGTCCGAAACTATTCTTCTTTACGTGTTGTCGAAATTGTAAAATAACTTTTTTTTAATATGAATTAATTAATTACTTTAAAATATAAATCAATATTTTATGCCCAAAAAACAAGCTCTGGAAACAAGCGAACCGAGAGCTGAGGGCAGGACTTTGGCCCGACCTTTCGTGGCTGAAACGACAGCACATACCGATCGCACAAACTTCCCGGTTATGCAGTCATTGAATCAGCAATGGGTGGACAGCAATCGGGACACATTCATCTGTTACTCATGTGCCGAGGGTAATTTATGCGTTTGTTATTAATTATAATTAATATTAATTACATTTTTAATTAAATGAACGAATAGGACGTAAAACGTTTTATGACGACGATTACGGCATCACTTACTTTGGACAGGCGTTAAGCCATTCAATAGCTCAGTACGCGTGCGAAGAGTCGCTATCATCGATAATGAGCAGGGTTAAATGCAACAATGCTTTCTAGTTATATAAATTACCAGAATGTTTCTAATTTTAATTTACATTATTTTGAATAGACATGTGATTTGCTGAAGTTCTTCATAAAGCATACGGGCTTTAATCCGCCCGAGTTTAGGGGTAAAGGACTTCGACGACAACTTTGCTTTAATCCATGAAATGTTTGGGATTAGTAGTAATTTAGTTACTAGGTTGATCTAGTAATTTGTAGTGTTTTCTAAACCTTTATACTTTATTTTATGACTTTTTAATAAATGTCAATTGTCTAGACTATTGTAATTTCTATAACAATAAATAAATTTTTACAACAAATTTTGTAATTTTAATTAATTACTTAAAAAATATACTTAAAAAACAACTTTCACTCGCATTTCTCTGATACTTAAAAAGAGAGCCGAAAATAGTCGGATCAAAACAATGGCACAACAGTTACCAGTAGTGACACATCTGGAGCGACAGAGCGGCCAATTCACTCCGCACATGGAGTACACAGTGTTTGGTCAGCCCGGGCCGCCTCACGAACCGGCCGAGTACTGGGCCGACGATCTGCGAAAACAGCCCCGAGGTTTCCGACCGCTAGCCGAACCCAAGTTCGTCGGCTACAGTGAGGGCGCGGCCGCTCGTATGCGAGAGCGCATGGGTTTAGGTCCGGCGCCCTTCGGAAAGGACAAGAGAGGGAATCGCATTTTCGGACCCTCACAGCCGCTCGACTTTTACGGCCAGTCGTTTCCGAACGTACTGCTGAAACCCTCGTTTCAGATCCCATACAATCAGCTCTTCGGACACGTGTCGTGTCTGGGCTTCACTTTCGAAAGACCGTTGGGCGCCGGCGGCTATTCAGATGTATGGGAGGTGAGAGACCAGCGGCGCAATCGGCAAATCGCCTGCAAAATACTGCAACTCAAGCGATACCGGGGCGCGGCGTCGTTGGCCGAGGCGGTGGACTGCATGCTGCGCGATGTGACCGCATTGCGCGGTCTGTCGCACCCGAATGTGGTGTCCATGGAGTCGATGGCCGACATCCGCGACCCGGAGACCGGTTTACCCAAACTCTATGTGTTTGTGTTCATGGAGTTGTGCGCCGGCAGTCTTCACGACGAGCTCACTGTTCACGGCATGAACGACGTCGAGGCGGGCGTTTGGTTCAAACAGATAGTGCCGGCCCTGCAGTACCTGCACGACAACGGTGTCGCCCATATGGACCTCAAGCCGGGAAACATACTCTACGTCAACGATCCCAACACTAAGCAAAAAGTGTACAAATTGGCCGACTTTGGTCTGGCGGTGCTGTTCGACCCGAACGGCTCGGACCTCAAGCCGAGCACAGACTTACTTCAGACAGACTTTATCGGCGATCCGGCGCGCCGTACACCGCAGGCCGAAGCGGCGGCGGCCAAAGGCCAGCCGTTGTTGGTGTCGGTAAAACGGGCCGACATTTTCTCGTTGGGCGTGACGCTGACGATGATGATGGTCGGCTCCGGCACTCATCCCAACTGGTATTTGAAGGGCCGACAGGACTTCGCTCGGATGGACGCTCACGGATACATCTATAACGCTCTGGTGAATGGTAAGCGCCGCTCCACTACCAGTCCGCTCGTCCAACTCCTGTTCGCCATGACGTGGGACGACCCCCAGAAGCGGATGCCTCTGAGCGATGTGATTGGCCAGCGGTGGGTGATTAGCGTCTAGAGTATGTGTGTGACCAGTGCTGGTGCCGGTGTTCATCTGTTTTATCACTCAAATTATTTTGCAAATACTTGATTTGTTTTTAAATAAACAAATATTTCTGAAAGGTAGTAATTGCTAATTTATAGCTAAATTACATTATTATAGATGCAGTATATTTTGAGTTACAATTTACATCAATTTTATGCACATTTTCCCCACTTATCCTTTAGTGTTCACAGAAAGGTAAATTCATTAAGGTAAATTCAAAATATTTTATTTTACTTTCATAATATTAAATAATTTATGTTTTTAATCTAAACATTCATAAAATCTGAATCCATGTTATATCTGAGCCCTCCGTCGACCACCAGATTGTGTCCCGTTATGAATGAGGCGTCCGATGAGGACAGGAATACTATGCCTTTGGCGATATCAATGGGAAGGCCGGGTCGGGCCAGTGGTGTAGTTTTGGCCGCTTTCTCAATCACCCGTTTTTCCCAGGGAAGGGTCTCATTGAGTGGATGTGACTGAACAATACCCGGGCTAATGAAATATTTTAATTAATAAATTTTTAATTTTAATAACAAGATGTTTGTTAAAATATATAATTTACTATACCTGATAGAGTTAACACGAATACCCTGTGGGGCCAACTCTAGTGATAATACATTGGTTGCCATTGATAGCGCCTGTTTGGCCAACTCATATCCCAAATACGATTTTTGCTTTTAATTAAATATGTTAGTTAAATAGTTTTATCAACATAAAATTAATGTTTATTTGTTTTACCGGGTGTATAGTAAAAGTGCTGCAAATGTTAACAACAGTTCCCTTTGATTTCTGGAGATACGGAACACTCAGACGGATCAGCTCTAGTGATGCTCTTAAGTCTATTTTCTCCGATTTGTCCAAAACGGACAAAAAGTCTTTATCGGTCGCCGAAGAGTTAATCAATAGACCGGCGCTATTGACCAATACATCCAATCCTTTGTATGCTTTTATGGTCTCATCAAACAAACGCTTTAAGTCTTCATCTTTGGTCAGATCTGCGGTCACTTCTAACGGCTATTTAAACATTTTAATTAACATATAATTGAATTAGTATTAAATTATGTTTAAAATATAATTACTTTAAGTTTTTTCGGTGACAATTCCTGTACTTCTTTGGCCACTTTTGAAATCTCTGAGGCTTTCCTACCGGTGACGACAACACTCGCCCCGAGAGCTGAGTATAGTTTCACAATCTGTTCTCCAATACCCGAAGCACTTCCGGTCACTAAAACTATTTTCCCCGTAAAATTTCTTGAATCTCTCACTTCTTGATAGATATCATTGCTTTCATTCAATACAATTGCGTTCACATTTGCAAAAGCAATCAATGCTAACAAATATATGGCAAACATTTTGTATAAAACTTTTAATTGTTTTTGTAGTGTGGAATTAATTTACTATAAAATTTAGTATTATATAAATTTATTAATATACTTTAATAAAAATTTTTAGTTTATATACTATTGAAATGTTTATCAAAATTAAGTTTTTGTAAAAGTAAGATATAAGTCAATGGGAATTATTTTAAGATTACCTGCAATCAGGGTTTAAGCACAATTCATGTATTTAAGTGCAACTTTTACAATATACATTTAACAGACAATACATTTCAACAAGTTTCACAATTATTATAATTTTATTTGAGAATTAAGTTGACTTGCAATACCCTTCACTTGACAATCATTTAATACATACGATACATTGTAATATTCTGATAATTCCAATCAGTTTGTATTATAATGAGGATTTATTTAGTGCATTTCGTAATATTTGGCACATTTTATTGAACCAGTTGCAACATATACATTATATTTATTAAATTAAGGAATGAATAAGTTTTATAAATACCTGATTTACGATCATTAAAATATTGAGACAAGTACAACATAAAACATACCATAGAATACACCAGTAACGACAGAAATGGCCAAAATTATGTTAGCATTTATGTACAATATTATAGTGAGTAATACTATTCATATATCAAACACAACGATAGCACAAAACCTACGTCTACTTACATAATGTCTTTTGGCGTTTCTGGAATACACCAAACCGGTAATCAATGCATCACAAAAATAATTTAAATTAATATTTTAATATATAATATTTATTTAGATTTTAATTATTTAATTTCTTATTTTAAGTTTTGTAAATACAGTGAATTCAAATATATTTTAACAAATTTAATATTTAATTATAACATTTGAGTCTTTTGTGGTTTAAATTTAAATGTTTTAAAGGGCGGCAAAATCTGATCCAATGTTATACTTAATGCCGCCATCGATGACCAGATTGTGTCCCGTTATGAACGAGGCGTCCGATGAGGACAGGAATACCACCCCTTTAGCGATATCGTCGGGAGTGCCGATACGTCCGAGTGGTGTCTGTTTGGCCGCTTCGTTGAAAATTTTCATAACATTTGGGTCGTCATGTGTTACGTGAGATCTCACTATTCCTATGCTATAGATTTTTAATAAAAGTAAATTTTTAGTTATATTTTTATAACATTAATTATAATTAATAGAGTTGTTAAATTAATTAATTAGCACTATAGATATTTGCATTTAGATACCATTAGTACATACCCAACACTGTTAACCCGAATGCCGTGTGGGGCCAACTCTAATGCCAGTGTAGTTGTGCTCATTTCCAGGGCTTGTTTTGCCAATTGATATCCCAAATAGGATTTTTGCTGGAAATGAAAGTTATTATAATATTTAAAATATATTCAGTATTTTATAAACGGTTTACTGGTCTCTCCGTAAACACCGACGAAATGTTGACAACATTTCCTTTGCTTTGTTTAAGATATGGTTCAAAGAGTCGGATGAGAGTAAGCGATGCCTTGAGATCTACTTTCAGAGATCTGTCCAAAACATCCAAAAAGTTATCATCGGTTCCGTTGGCCTTAATATAGTCGCCGGCGTTATTCACCAATACATCCAATCGTTTGAACGTTTTAATAGTTTCATTGAACACACGCTCCGCTTCGCCATTCTTTCCTAAATCTGCCGGTATTTCCAAAGCCTAATAAATATCAAATATTATAAGTTTTATACATTAATATTTATAATTAGCAGTTAAAACAAACCGGTGTTTTATTTGGTGATAATTCCTGAGCCTCTTTGGCCACGCGTTTAACAATTGCCTCTCGCCTACCGGTGATGACAACACTCGCCCCCAGAGCTGAGTATAGTTTAGCGATCGCTTCGCCGATACCACCACTACTTCCGGTCACTAAAATTACTTTTTTTGTAAAGTCTCTCGACTTTTTCACCTCAGAGTAAATATCTTTTGCGGACATTATTTGATTTAGTTTTGTATTCACTTTGTATTTGAAAAGGTTTTATTATTTATAAAAAAAAATTTATGTTTAATTTCTACAATGTCTGTCGTTTATATACTAAACGCTTAATGTGTTTATTGATAGTAATATTTAATATTAAACTTCATCAATATTTGTTATCAAATCAAACCCTAATATTCTACTATAAATAAGTGTATATTTAGTGCCGAACATAACATTTGGTTCAAATACTTAAAAACCTTGAAAAGAATAGATAATATAATTTTATTACCGTATATTTTTATTACTTTGAAGAATATTATATTATTACGGATACTTAATTAAAGTGACTTATACAATTTCACTTTAATATACCATTATTTATATTGCATAATCACTACATTATAACGAAATAATTTTGATAAATTATAATAAATATAACTTTAGTGTTTATATCAGTCTTTAGTACAGCACATAAAATTAAGTTCAACAAGTAACATTAAGTGTAAGAAATTATATTTAATTCATTGGTGTTTAATAATATTATTTATTGTATAGGTTGTTAGAAGTGGCATATTTTTGACACGGCAAACCCGATCACACACATTGGTACCATTTACCATCTCTTCGCCGATACGTTCAGTACTTCCGGTCACTAAAACTACTTTCTTGTAAGACTACTCTTGATTTTTAATTTCAGAGTAATGTTCTTTTGCGGACATTATATTCATCACATGATTACTTACAATTAAAATTGTATGTAAAACAATAATTTGAGTTATTAAACTAATTTATTTGACCATACATCTGATGTCTACAAGTTGAATATTTTTAGTTAATTATTTAACTAATTTGTAATTTATAAAAGTTTTGAGATGGTAAATGACGAATAACGGCAAATAAATGCAATATAAAATTTAAATCTAATTTAATTCTAATCAAAGTTTAATTTTAAATATAAATCATTTTTTAAAATGTATATATTTTTATATATAACGTGGTAATTAAAATCGTATTACCATTATCATCATAATCAAAATACTAATACCAAATTACTGCTAATTATAAAGGATCTATGGAACTAATCGTAAAATCAGTAATTTTATTAATTAATTAATCCATATGAATTCAATTGTTTTTATTGTTTTTAAATGATTTAATTAACATTCATATAATCGGAATCCATGTTATATTTGAGCCCTCCGTCGACCACCAGATTGTGTCCCGTTATGAATGAGGCGTCCGATGAGGACAGGAAAACCACTCCTTTGGCGATATCAATGGTGGCGCCGATGCGTCCCAATGGTGTCGTTTTGACCACTTTCTTATAAAAGGCCACTTCGTATGGATCCGTTTCATTAAGAGGATGTGACTGAACAAAACTGGCACTAAATTTTGCGTACAAAATATTATAGACAATTAGTTAATTATAATTAAATTACGGTTATATTTCGTACCTAATTGTATTGACACGTATGCCTTGTGGGGCCAACTCAAGTGATAATACTTTTGTTGCCATTTCTAATGATTGTTTGGCCAATTCGTACGCCAAATAATGTTTTTGCTTTTCAAAAATTTAACATAAATTATAATTATTGTAAAAACATTAATACTTGAATTAATGTCGATTTGATTTACCGGGTGTTCAGTAAAAGTGCTGTCAATATTAACTACACTTCCCTTTGATTGCTGGAGATACGGAACGCTGAGTCGGATCAACTCTAGTGAGTCTCTTAAGTCTATTTTTTCCGATTTGTCCAAAACGGACAAAAAGTCTTTATCGGTTGCGTCGGCCTTTAGAAACAGACCGGCGTTATTGACCAATACATCCAATCCTTTGTACGCTTTTATGGTCTCATTAAACAAATGTTGCAAATCTTCATCTTTGGTCAGATCTGCGGTCACTTCTAACGGCTATTATAAAAAGATTAATTAATATAATTTGAAATGTATTTAAGTTATTATAAAATTACCTTTAATTTTTTCGGTGACAATTGCTGTACTTCTTTGGCCACTTTTGAAATCTCTGCGGCTTTTCTACCGGTGACGACAACACTCGCCCCGAGAGCTGAGTATAGTTTCACAATCTGTTCTCCAATACCCGAAGCACTTCCGGTCACCAAAACTACTTTTCCCGTAAAATTTCTTGAATCTTTCACTTCTTGATAAATATCATTGCTTTCCTTTACTTGAAATGCATTAACATTTGCGAAAGCAATCAATGCTAACAAATATATGGCAAACATTATTATAAATTTTTTATAATATTTATTTGATTATTTAATATTAAAATAATTTACTAATAATTTTTCAATAAAACTCAACGTTTTATATACCATTTAAATGTTAAATCCTGTTATTGATAATTTGCTATTATTTGCTATACCCAATTATTAAATTAATCTTTATAAAGTAATATCTGTACTCAATATTATTTTATCTATTTTTAATATCCATAACATATATATATTTGGCACGATATGTAAGATTGGGTACTTTTATACTTGATAGAATATTGAACAAAACATAAATACTTGACAAACAATACAAAAGTGCCATTTCTAATATAGTATTAATTTATAATGATAACTATTATCAATTAATATAGATTAATTTTAATCAAATTGTTATTCATTAGCACATTGTATAATATTTGGTACATTTTGCAATATGACTATAAATATAAGAATAGTTAATCTATTATACGAATTGATTAATTTATTTGTATTAATAATAATCGCATACTTAAACATTGCTTCTCAACTGGTTTGCGAATTGAAAACAACATGTAAAATATAGATTATCTTTGTAAATGTAAGATTTTCTACAATACCATTATTTTATATTTAATTTATTTTAATTAAAAAATTTTAATTACAGATTCTTTAATGGATTGAAACGTTATATTTAAAGACCTTCAAAATATGTTTTTAAATATATTGACCTGTTAAAGATACATGTTTGGGACTTTGGACTAACCAATTACATAATAAGGGTCATTTTAACAGTTATTTTACATATAAATACATATTTGACTTATAAGTAAATATTTTGTCATAAAGCAAACAATAATTAAACTTTTCTTCATTTATTTAATGTTTTTTATTTAAATTTTTTATTTTTATTCAATATATAATTACTTCATTTAATATATTTCTCTAGTATTTGCTGTACAATTGATGTAGAGGTACAATGAATGGTAGAAGGCATATATTTTTGTTACGGGATATATTTTTTAGGGATATATTAAATGAAGTAACAGTAAGTGTTATAACTTTATACCAATAATAAATACACTAATACTAGTACTATTGTATAATAATACCATTCGTGACATGCAACTAATTATTTATTATTAATACACGATTCCTATTGTAATTCTAGTTTTTATAGTGATAATTAACATTATAATTACAAGTATCGTTATTGCTTCTAATAAAAAATCAAATGTAATGTTATTAGTAATAACTTATTACGTTAATAATATGGATAACAATTATATATAATGTGTCATACATTTATAATTTACTTTAAGTTTTGATGGTCTAAATGCACTTAAAGATATTTGGATTTGTATTTGAATAACATTTTTATTTTAGAAATTATTACAAATTATATAGATTTTATGAGATTACTTTATTATAAAGAAAAATATCATAAAATTTTTCAAATATAATAATAAAAGTTAATAATTAAAATGAATTATAAAAAGACCCACAAAATGAACGATATTTTTGATCGAGAGCTTTATATTTGTCTACCAAAACATGTGGTCATTCCATCGGCTGGCAGTCATTTATATAGATATGGCATCTCTTGGTTTAGATACGGATCACACGAGAGATCCATTATTTGTCACCCAATTATAAGCTTCACAATTGTCTTATTATATGTAATCCGCTGTTATGTTGGCATTAAAATCACATCAAATGATGATATGATATATCTATTGGCCGGTGATTTCCCATACTTTTTAAAAGCCAAAATTCACGTCAATATTTTCATTATAATTTGCGGTATTTATGTCTTGTTTTCATTCATTGTTCACTTCATCCACAAAAATGAAGGCAAACCTTCTTATATGAGACCATTTGATATGATGTCTGGTTTAATATCACCTCAAAGTATTGGTCTCACGGATGCCATGGATGTGAAAAAATTAATGAAAATATCAAAATACCTGTTAATATATCCCAAACCAATTATAGCCACATTTCCATTCATTGGTTTCCTATTTTCATCCATATTAATCGCTCAATGCATTATGAATTGCTATACAAATTACATCATGATCATTTCACTAACACTATTTATTTGGACTATATTATTAATATTTTGCGGCTATATATTGGGCAACTATTTTTTCTACGAGATCATTTACTTGTATTTAATCATATATTATTCAAAACTAAAAATTAAAAGCATTAACAACGTGGTAAATACTATATTAAAATTGAAACAACAAATTAATGGCACAGATTTGCGGCAACTGTTGACAAAAATCAATTCAATACACAATGAGATCATTGAATTCAATGGCAATGTTTGGTCTAAATTTTTGTTTGTATTCATATTATGTAACATAACATTCATTACATTCTGTCTTTACATCACTTTATTTGTGTCAATGCATATAATCATTAAATCTGCTTTCATTTACGGCACTATTGTTTGGTTTACAATATTTGTCATTATATTAAACATCGCTTCGCAAGTGGTTTACGAATCAAAAACTACTTATAAATTATTGATTTGTTTAATTAATTTACAATTAAATCTCAATAACACTTCTAAAATAAAGGTTTGGTTTTATTTGTTTTTCATTTTAATTAAATAACGATTTTATTGATAAATTCTGTGATTTATGTTTTATACTTAATAATAGTTGCTTTCATGGATTGAAAAGCTAAGCGACAAAACTGTTGGTTTCTATTGCTATCATATATTTATAATTAATTACAAACACTTTTATGAGGTATTAAATAATATATTGCATTTATTATTTGTTTATATAATGTTCATATGATTTATATATTACAGGTAATTATAATAATGATGGCATTTTTCATTAAAATAACCCACATGTCCAGATAAATAATATGCAAATAAATATCAATTTAATTTTTAATAAAATTGTTACGATCCGAGCGGTCAGTATTGGACTGATCGGGGATCGGGTTATGCGGAACCGGTCGCTAACTATCCCCCAGATATACGGGTAAAATAGTTACACATATAGCCGATGATAACAACATTTATTA